TTCTTGCTGATTTGGCATCAAATACTGACATCAACAAAGACAACATAAGACTCAAACAGGTTCCTGTAATGAGAGCATCAAAGCCTCGCTTGGTGACCAGTGTGGTCCGTCCATGGAGCATTTCAGGTTAGGTCCCACAAGAGCAAACCTGACACAGCCATGCCCTGAACTCTTACTGCTACCATATAAAAGAAATGTGATCAAAGTTTGTATTTTCTCTATAGAAAACGGCATTACAGGCCAGGCGCGGTGGCTCAAGCCTATAATCCCAGCACTTTGGGAGGCCGAGGCGGGTGGATCACGAGGTCAAGAGATCCAGACTATCCCAGTCAACATGGTGAAACCCCGTCGCTACTAAAAATACAAAAATTAGCTGGGCATGGTGGCACGTGCCTGTAGTCCCAGCTACTCTGGAGGCTGAGGCAGGAGAATTGCCTGAACCCAGGAGGCAGAGGTTGCGGTGAGCCGAGATCGTGCCATTGTACTCCAGCCTGCGTGACAAGAGTGAAACTCCATCTCAATAAAAAAAAAAAAAAAAGAAAGAAAGAAAACGTCATTACAAAATCCTTGATGTACAAGGAAGTGATCAGAGTATAGAAAAGCACAGGGAGGCCAGGTGCCGTGGCTCACGCCTATAATCCCAGCACTTTTGGAGGCCAAGGTGGACAGATCACCTGAGGTGAGGAGTTCGAGACCAGTCTGGCCAATGTGGTGAAACCCCCTCTCTAGTAAAAATACAAAAATTAGCCGGGCATGGTGTGGGCACCTGTAATCCCAGCTACTTGGGAGGCTGAGGCAGGAGAATCGCTTGAAGCCAGGAGGTAGAGGTTGCAGTGAACCGAGATCACACCACTGCACTCCAGCCTGGACCACAAGAACAAAACTTCATCTTAAAAAAAAAAAAAGAAAAACAGGCTGGGCACGGTGGCTCATGCCTGTACCCAGCACTTTGGGAGGCTGAGGCAGGTGGATCACCAAATCAGGAGTTTGGGATCATACTGACCAACATGGTAAGACCCCGTCTCTACTAAAAATACAAAAATTAGCTGGGCAAGGTGGCATGCACCTGTGGTCCCAGCTACTCAGGAGGCTGAGGCAGGAGAATTTCTTGAACTGGGGAGGTGGAGGTTGCAGTGAGCTCAGATTGCGCCACTGTACTCCAGTCTGGGCCACAAAAATGACACTTACTTACAAAAAAAAGAAAAAGAACACAGGGAAGGCATTGGTGTTCAACGTGGAGGTGGTCAAGCGGTTGATACAAAATGCCCTGTTACGTTTCTGCGTGGCTTGATATGTACCAACCTTCTAAAATTGGTAGTGTGATCTGTATTCTTCTAACGGGCAGTCAAAATTCACTGTCACACCTAATTTTGGTTTTGTAATTGTGTTTGTGTCTTGCTTTTTTTTAAGGCAGAGTCTCGCTCTGTCCCCCAGGCTGGAATGTAGTGGTATGATGACGGCTCATTGCAACTTCCACATCCCAGGTTCAAACAATTCTCCACCTCAGCCTCCCGAGTAGCCGGGATTACAGATGTGTGACACCATGCCCGGCTAATTTTCTGTATTTTAGTAGACACAGGGTTTCAGCATTTTGGCCAGGCTGGTCTTGAACTCCTGACTTTGTGATCCACCCGCCTCAGCCTCCCAAAGTGTTGGGATTACAGGCATGAGCCACTGGACCTGGCTGCTTTTTTAAAATAAGAGTCCTTTTGAAACTGTGCAAGCCTCAGACACCATAAACCCAGCTCTGTCCAATGACCAGCTTCCTCTGTGCTATAAACAGGTAGTTTATAGAAAACGGGGCTTAGGAGCTGGAGGCCTGGGTCCGAATCCTGGTTCTGCTGCGGCCTTGGCCTGAGAATCCTGGGTGACTTCTTCTTGCAGCCTCAAGTTCTTTCCTTATAAGATGGGGATAATCTGAGCTCCACAGAGGGCTGCGAGGTCTGGTGTACGCACAGCGCCTGGAAGACTCCAGAGTCCCTCAGCTCTGCCATGCTTTGCCTCCCTCCATCGTTCCTGCTCTGTAGCCCACGCTGTGGTCTCCACGCCTTCTGCTCAGTACAGGGGCGTTACCCTCGCCAGCCATCCTCAGGGAGAGGAGATCCCAGAGCCTGATAATGTCTTTTTCTTTTTTCTTTTCTGTTTTATTCTTTGTTTTTTGTTTTTGAGATGGAATTTTGCTCTTGTCGCCCAGGCTGGAGTGCAGTGGTGTGATCTTGGCTCACTGCAACCTCTGCCGCCAGGGTTCAAGTGATTCTCCTGCCTCAGCCTCCCAAATAGCTGGAATTACAGGCTTGCACCACCACGCCCGGTTAATTTTGTATTTTTAGTAGAGATGGGGTTTCCCCATGTTGGCCAGGCTGGTCTTGAACTCCTGACCAGGTGATTCACCCGCCTCGGCCTCCCAAAGTGCTGGGATTACAGGTGTGAGCCACCATGCCTGGCCGATAATATCTTTTTCTAAATCAAAATGACAAGTGTACAATCTCAGCCAATGAGCAAGGTGCTGGGATGAAGATGGGGCCTAACCCTCCCTCAGGGCCACCCAAATGGGTCCCTGCAGGGAAGGAAGGGCCTTGCCATGAGGGAAGCACAGGCGGTTCCGCATCACCAGACACCCACAAGACACCCATGCAGGGACAGGCGCCCACATCCCAGGAGGAGAAAGGGCACAGCAGAGGGCATCCTGAAGCTGGCTGGCCCTGACCCCAGCTGGAAGGAAATGGGGGACCCAGAAGGAGCCAGGGGTCTCCCAGGAGCCGTGTGTCCATGGGGAGGGGACCACAGTTCCACTGACCTCCATCCTGGTCAGACCCCATCTGGGCACAGGGAATGCAGGCTGGCAAATCCCCCATGGAGAAGGGTCTGGAAGCCACACTGCGGGGACACACAGGACCCCCACAGGGGACACACAGGGATGTCTTGGCCTGGAGAAGGGGAGGCTGTGCGGCCACAAACCCCCATCCACACCTGCTGGAGATGCTGGGGAGAAGGACCTGCTGGCAGCTTCCCAGGGAAAGGCCTGTTCACCAGGCCAGGCTGTGGCAGTGGGGACCACAGCGGAAGGGGTGAGCAGGGGGCCGAGCCTCGGGGCCTCCGGTGAACCAGGGACCCTGTGGGGAGGGGCTGGTGACCCGGGAAACCTCTCCTTCCCCCAGCCTGTCTGCTAGGCTTCCAGGCCTCACCTGTGGAACCAGAAATGAAGGGAGAGGAGGGCCCGGCAGGGTCTTCTCTTTCCAGGTGCTCTCAGCACTTGCCTGCGCCGCCATGGGGCTTCCTTAACACCCACAGAGTTGAACGAAAGGGAGAACCGGGATCCGAACCACCTGCCCTCTTTCCTCCACCCACCAGCCAGCTCCTTCCTACTTAGGGCCAAACGCAGCCTCAGATTCTGACCTCCACTTTCTACAAGTCGGTGTGACCCAGGTCCTACTCATCTTCAATTAAATTTAGTGGAATCACCGAGGTGCCCTTTTCACCTGTGCATTAAGAGAAAGGGCTCCACCCTCATTCGTTCATTCAAGAGATTCCCGGGCTTGGGCCTAAGCACCTGCAAAGAAGAAGGGGGGCCTTCAGCAGGTGGGGGGCGGGGAACCGAGGGGCTATACTGAGCTCCCATTTAGCTGGAAGTACAGACACCTCCAGAGTCTCCCCAGGCAGTGTGGCCGATCCTAGATTTCAACCCCAGCCCCACCTCCATTGGCCGTGTCGCCTTAAAACAGCAACTTCCGGCCAGGCACAGTGGCTCACACCTGTAATCCCAGCACTTTGGGAGGCTGAGGCAGGCAGATCACAAGGTCTGGAGTTTGAGACCACCCTGGCCAACATGGGGAAACCCCGTCTCTACTAAAAATACAAAAATTAGTCTAGCGGGGTGGCGGGCACCTATAATCCCAGCTACTTGGGAGGCTGAGGCAGGAGAATCGCTTGAACCCAGGAGGTGGAGGCTGCAGTGAGCCCAGATCGTGCCATTGCACTCCAGCCTGGGTGACAGAGCAAAACTCTGTCTCAAAAAACAAAAACAACAACAAGGAAAAAAACCAGCAACTTCCCCTCTCTGAGTTTCCTCATCTGCAAAATGGTGACAGAATAGTACCTGCCTTGCAGGGTGGCTTAGAGAGCGGACTTGGCCAAGTGATTCCTTCCCCACCTTAGGTCACCTCTTCCTCATCTTGCCCTCGCCCTCATTCAGTGGCTATGCCCAGCAGTTGGTGGCCCAGGGCCCAGAAGGGGGTCGGAGGAGGCAGGAAGGCTTTGGGGATCTAGGGTCCAGGCCCTGACCAAGGGCCTCCCGCCCACTCCCAGGCCAGCTGCTCCTGGCAAGTGCCAGAGTCTCCGTCCCACGGGCAGCTCGGAGATGGCCTGGTCCCATGCTCCCTGTGTGATACACAGTCAGCAGACACTGGGAGGAAAGAAAGGAAAAGGGAAGCCCAGGGGAAGCAGTGACTTGGGCACAGGCTCCCTGCCAGGCAGAAAAAGCCCCAGAACACTTTCCTTTTGCCCCAGGGGAGTTTCCTGAGGAGGGGGGCTTCTGACAAGTGAAGGCTTCAGTCACCTTGATCCCAGCCAGGCGTGGCGGCTCACACCTGTAATCCCAGCACTTTGGGAGGCTGAGGCAGGTGAATCACCTGAGGTCTGGAGTTCGAGACCAGCCTGGCCAACATGGTGAAACCCCATCTCTACTAAAAATACAAAAAATTAACCAGGCGTGGTGGTGGGCACCTGTAATCCCAGCTATTTGGGAGGCTGAGGCAGGAGAATCGCCTGAACTCAGGGCAGGTGGAGGTTTCAGCGAGCCAAGATTGTGCCATTGCACTCCAGCCTGGGTGACGAGCAAAACTCCATCTCAAAAAAAATAAAAAATATAAATCATGGTCCTGAGATCCAAAAGTGGTTTCTCCCCTCTGATTCCATTCTGAAGATGGCGGGCAGGCTGGGGTTATTGTTTGTCAGCACACCCCTGGGAGATTTCTGCTCCTAAAACAGCATCTCACCTGTAGTCCCAGCTACTCAGGAGGCTGAGGCAGGAGAGTCGCTGGAACCGGGGAGGTGGAGGTTGCAGTGAGCCAAGATCATGCCATTGCACTCCAGCCTGGGCGACAAGAGCAAAACTCCATCTCAAACAACAACAAAACACCCAGCATTTCTTCGGTGTCACAGGGCATTTTGCACAGAACAGACCTTCGAGTCCAATGACTGCAGGAAGCCTCTAATTTCCCAGAGCTGTCTCCAGGAGAAAGCCGTTCCCACTCAGAAACTGGATTGTAAATGATGTCGGGCGGTTCCCGGAAGCTGCTGAACTCTGAATGCTGCTGAAAATCCGTACATGTGAAATGAAAACAGTGGAAATAGGCCGGGTGCGGTGGCTCATACCTGTAATCCTAGCACTTTGGGAGGCCAAAGTGGGTGGATCACCTGAGGTCAGGAGTTCAAGACCAGCCGGGCCATCATGGTGAAACCCCATCTTTATTAAAAAAAAAAAAAAAAAAAAAAAAAAAAAAAACGTAAAAAAAAAGAAACCCCAGTAGAAATCGATACTAGTTGCAATACTAGTAATTTCTGAGCAGAAAAAATAAATGGTTTTATGCATCTGACTGCAGCTGCTGGAGAGAGAAAGGTAGTTTTCATCGGAGGAGGCCCAGGGGAGGGGGAGGCCTTCTCATTCTGCTTCCCTTGGGCCCCTCTCCAGCCTCAGCCTCTCAGCCTGGATGGGACACCCCAGTCCCTTGTCTACTCCTGGAAGCTTCTTATAAAGCCTTCCTGGGACAGGTTCATGCCTGTAATCCCAGAATTTGGGGAGGCCAAGACGGGTGGATCACTTGAGGTCAGGAGTTTGAGACCAGCCTGGCCAACATGGTGAGGCTAAGGAAGGAGAATCACTTGACTGCGGGAGGCGGAGGTTGCAGTGAGCCAAGATTGTGCCAGTGCACTGCAGCCTGGGCGACAGGGCAACACTCCATCTCAGAAAATAAACAAATAAATAGAGCCTTACTGGACGCCTGGACCTTCTTGGTGGGCTCAGCCCGTCATGTTGGGATGTGACTTAGAGTGGATATCAGCCTACGCCCTACGTGGTGAGCACCCAGGACAGAGTCTGGCCCACAGCAGTGCCCTGGAAAGTTCGTTGAATGAGGGAATGAGTGACCTGAAATTCCTTGTCGATCTGGACCCCTGCAGGAATTAGAGGGCCCGGCCTGGGTTCTTTGCTATCCCTGAACCTAGCGCAGTCTGACTCTGACCCAGGTCTGCACATCTGTGCCATTATCCTTCCCAGCCCTGGGGCGGTGGAAGAGCCGGCCTAGCCACAGGGCAACGGGAAGAGAAAGTAAGAGGCAGTGAGAATAGACGGCCAGCTGAGAGGAGAGGGCAGAACGGAGAGGGCAGAGCTTTCCTGAGGCCTGAGCTGGTGCGGGGGGAGCTCCCTGAGAATCCCCTGCAGCTGCCCTGACCCCTGCACCCCGCCTCTGGAACCTCAGTGGGGGCAGCTCCAAGACCAGCCTCCAATTGCTCTGGCTGGCAGAGAGGGTGGTGGGGGGATGGGGTGCCTGGAGGGCCTCAATTTCCGGCTCCTCCCAGTGCCCCTGCTGCCCCTCCCAGACCTGTCACCTCCATAGACTTCCTCCTCTCCCCTTGGGGACTCTCCTTGTTCTCTGTGACTTTCCCAAACCCCCTCAACTCTAAAGGGACCTACACAATTGAGAGGATGAATGAAGATTAAAGGCAAAACAACTACTTTTCTGTTTTTTTGAGATGGAGTCTCAGTCTATTGCCAGGCTGGAGTGCAGCTGCAAAATCTCTGCTCACTGCAATCTCTGCCTCCTGGGCTCAAGTGATCTTCCTGCCTCAGCCTCCCAAGTAGCTGGGACTACAGGCATGTGCCACCACGCCCAGCTAACTTTTGTCTTTTTAGTAGAGTCAGGGTTTCACCATGTTGGCCAGGCTGGTCTCGAACTCCTGATCAGGTGATCCATCCACTCGCCTTGGCCTCCTAAAGTGCTGGGATTATATGGGATTATAGGAGTGAGCCACCATGCTCGGCCTTTTTTTTTTTTTTTTTTTTTTTTCTTGAGACAGTCTCATTCTGTCTCCCAGGCTGGTGTGCAGTGGTATGATCTCAGCTTACTGCAGCCTCTGTCTCCTGGGTTCAAGCGATTCTCCTACCTCAGCCTCCCGAGTGGCTGGGATTACAGATGCCTGTCACCACACCCGGCTAATTTTTGTATTTTTAGTAGAGATGGGGGAGTTTTACCATGTTGGCCAGGCTGGTCTCAAACTCCCGACCTCAAGTGATTCGCCTGCCTCAGCCTCCCAAAGTGTTGGGATTACAGGCGTGAGCCACTGCACCTGGCCTAGAACAGCTGCTTTTCTATCAACATCTCGCTGTTCGCAAAGTGCTCTCACTTCCATTACTTCCATTGTTCTTCACTAAACCCTTATAAAGTGGGTGTTTCACCCCCATTTTGAGGATGCAGAAACTGCCCCCCCCATTTTGAGGATGCAGAAACTGCCCCCCACTCCAACGCCTGAGGAGACAAGGCTAGGGTGCAAACTGAAGTGAGCTCACACCAGATCCCTTGCCCTTCCCAGGAAAAGGTGCTGACCCTCCAAAGAGGAAGGAGAGGGGAGCGAGTGGGGAGGAATGAAAGGTTGTGGGGAGGAGGAGGAAGGGAGGGAGGGCAGGTGGGGAAGGAAGGGAGGGAGGGCAGGTGGGGAAGGAAGGGAGGGAGGGCAGGTGGGGAAGGAAGGGAGGGAGAGCAGGTGGGGAAGGAAGGGAGGGAGAGCAGGTGGGGAAGGAAGGGGGGAGAAGGAAGGAAGAAAATGGGAGGGAAGAGGGAGAAGTGGGAGGGAGGGCAGGTTGGGGGTAGGAAGGGATGGAGGGAAGGAGAGAGGGAGGAAGGGCAGGCGGGTGGGGGAGGGAGGGAAGGCAGGTGGGAGGAGGAAGGGGGAGGGAGAAGTGGGGGAAGGAGAAGTTGGGGGAGGGAGAAGAGTAGGGAGTATCAAACCTGTGTCAGACTTGAGAGGTGCTTCCAGCCGTTTCTGAAGTGTGAAAGCAAGGGTCGGTTCAAATGCACATTTCCTGGCCCTGCAACTCTGTGGGGTGGAGCCAGCATCTGCAGATTAGTGGCAGCCACACACACCCTCTGCCCACGGGAGACGGAGGCTCTGGTCTCACAGAACCTTGGAACTGTGGGTGAGGAAGCATGAATAGGCTCACGGGAAGCTAATTGCTTCCTTAATTGGCTGAACCCACGCTGGGGAGCCCTGCCCGGAAAGTCCCGGTTGCTGGAGGGATGGGACTGGTTTGCCTGGCGGCCAATAGCGGGCTCCGCTGGAGGCTGCCCTGGAGGAGACAGTGCTGCGGTCCCAGAAGAAACAGCCCGAGGGGAAACGGCCGGGCCCTCGGGGTGCCCAGGAGGGGATTTAAAGAGGCGAGTTGAGGTCCCGCAGCCGCCACGCCCTGCACCCCGTACCCACCGCCCCCGCCGGCACATTCCTGGTTCTGCCTGCACCGGAGCCCCCTGGAACCCCCACCGCGCTATCCCACGGCCGCTCAAACCTGTCCTGATCTTGCTGGACGGTGGCCTCAGGGCAGCCCGGGACCCCTAGAGGGGGAAAAAGGGTGACGGAGAGGAAATCTCAAGTGAGCGCGTTTCCATATCTACCACCAGGTGGCACCATCAGCACAGGCCAACCCTGGGGCCGTCCTGCGTGGCCAGGAGGGGAAGGGGTGGCATCGTTGATGGGGGACTTGGTGGCTCTGGGGTCTGAAGTCCGAGGGCCTCCTGGTTCTGTGCTCGTCTCTTTGAGGGACACGGTTGTGTCAAGGGCCTGAGCCTCCCAGAACCTCGGCACATGGTGGACGTGGTGGAAAATTGTGGCCGGGCGCCGTGGCTCACACCTGTAATCTCAGCACTTTGGGAGGCCGAGGAGGGTGGATCACTTCAGGTCAGGAGTTCGAGACCAGCGTGGCGAATATGGTGAAAAATCTATTAAAAATACAAACTAGCCAGGTGTGGTGGCATGTGCCTGTAATCCCAGCTACTTGGGAGGCTGAGGCAGGAGAATCTCTTGAACCCAGGCGGAGGTTGCAATGAGCCTAGATCTCACCACTACACTTCAGCCTGGCTCACTGCAACCTCCTCCTCCCAGGTTCAAGCAATTCTCCTGCCTCAGCCTCCTGAGTAGCTGGGACTACAGGCCCACGCCGCCACGCCTGGCTATTATTTTTATTTTTTAGTTGAGATAGAATTTTGCTGTGTTGCCCAGGCTGGTCTGGAACTCTGGAGCTCAGGCAATCAGCCTGCCTCGACCTCCCAAAGTGCTAGGATCACAGGCATGAGCCACTGCGCCCGGCCTCACTTTTGTTTTCTGTTTCTTCCACATCTTGAAGATTCCTTTTGGTGTGGCAGGGCTGACCTCCGAAACTGAGTGTAGCGGGGGAGGTCTCGTCAAAGCGTGGTATGTGTCCACTAGGAAAGCCCGGTCCCAGGTGTGCCTCCAGTCCCCTCTGTGACCCCGAGCAGGTCATTCACTCTGTTTTCCTCTCTCACTAAATAGGTCAGATGAGGGGTATAATAGCTGCCCTGAGTGAAGGACCGGGTGAATTACAGGCGAGCACAGTGGTTAAAGCCAGCTCCCGGGAGCCGGGACCCTGGTTCCACTGCTTCCTCACTGTGTGGCCTTAGGCAAGTGTTCTCTGAACTCCAGTTTCCTCATCTGCAAAGCCGGAGCAGTCACAACACCTCCCATACAAGGTTTCTGTGAGGGCCGAAGTACATGAAAAGCCTTTAGAACTGTCTGGCATCAAACAAATGCTTAAGAGCCAAAAATACAGGCAGCTGGAACTGAGAGGGGATTCTGGAGATGGGCCAGGCCAGGCTTCCAGCCCAGGCAGCCTGCAGGTGGATGGCCTCCAGGTGGGTCTGCCTGCCTCGGGTGAGGCCAGCACCACCCAGCTACAGGGCCACTTCGGGGCACAAGAAGTCCCCAGAGGCAAATCCAGCTTCTACCCTTTTTGAATGTGGGGTGTTTGAGAGAGAGGATGGATCAGGCCCTCAAACCTCAGGACCCTTTCTGCCTCAGCTAAGCCAGCTCAAAGCATCATTCCAAGGGGCCTCCTCCTGCAGGTCGGCTCAGCTCCTCTTTGTGCTGGAGGCTTTGGGGAGGAAGGAAGTGATTTCCGCAGCTGAAGCGGGGAGCAGGGGGGTCCCCTTCCCACTGTACCTCTGCTTCCTGTGCAGAAAGGAACCAGGAAGAGCTCAGGACCTCACCGTGTCCTGGCTGGAGGCCCCTGAGCCACCACTTGCTCACTGAGGCATTTGAAAATCCTGGAGGGAGGCCGGATTCGGGGGCTCATGCCTGTAATCCCAGCACTTTGGGAGGCCAAGACAGGCGGATCACCTGAGGTTGGGAGTTTAAGACCAGCCTGACCAACATGGAGAAAACCCCATCTCTACTAAAAGTACAAAATTAGCCAGGCGTGGTGGCGCATGCCTGTAATCTCAGCTACTCGGGAGCCTGAGGCAGGAGGATTGCTTGAACCCGGGAGACGGAGGTTGCAGTGAGCTGGGATTGTGCCATTGCACTCCAGCCTGGGTAACAAGAGTGAAACTCTGTCTCAAAAAAAAAAAAAAAAAAAAATGAGGCACCTGGATGTGCTGCCGTTTTATTTCTATTCCCCTCTTGGCTCCTGAGGAGGATCAAGGCCAGACACGAGGCCCGGACGGCATAGCCAGGGCTGCTGGGCTCCTCGACAAGGCCTGTCCCTGCCTCTCCCTCAGAGGCTGCGTGGCTGCAGAGTGCCTCAGAAACTCGAAGTGAGCTGGGACCCTCAGCCACCTCTTGTCCAGTTACTTCTGTGCTCTGCAGCCCAGGGCCTGCCTGGGGAGGGTGCAGGTCTCCTCCCACCCTGCCCCTGGAGCCTACCCCTCCCCTGAGGCCTCCTGTGCACCAGCGCAGTGTTGGGCACCTGCCTTCATGTCGGGCCTGGAGGAAGGCCTCTCCCTGCCTTACGCTCAGTCATCTGTCCATTCATGCACCCCCTGGCCAGGCACAAGGAGGAGAGGGGAGGAAGACAGACAGGCAGCTCAGGCAGGCGAGCATGGAAACCAGGTGTGCAGCAGGCTAGACCCAGACTCAGAGCTCCCAGGAGTCCAGGGTGCAGAGCTGGAGTGTGGGGGGCACCATTACAGGCCAAGGGGCTTGTCTGAGAGGCAGGGGCAACGAGCTGGCACCAGGGCAGGAACAGAGGCTGCACTGCGTTGGAAGAGCAGGCTCCCGTGTTCCAAGGCAGCTTGGCACTTGGCTGCTTCCCGGTGCCAACTCATAACAAGACTTGTGGAGGCACAGACCAATGCTTTTCCAATGCTCCCTGTGTGCCCCGAGGCATTGACATCCGGTCTATCACCATGGCATTGAGGTGCTTAGACAACCTGCTACCCCCGGGAGCCGGGAGTAGCATGAAGCAGCCAGTCTGTGTCTCGCTGTGACATATGCGAGCATGTATCACTGTGATGGATCAACAGTCAATATCACTCGGGTCCTCACCCGCCCCCTGCGCGGTCGGAAACGTCTCCTGTTCTTACGTCTTCCTCCCACCGTGGGTGGCCCCTGCTCTCGCCAGCCTCCTGTGCTCTTGGCGTTGGTGGAAACGTCTTTCTGCTTTCGTTGTCCATGTTTGGAACGGCCCAGGGAAAAGCATTTGTGTAAAGAACTGAACTGGCCCTCCTGATGTCATCACTGGGGGCTGCAGCCAGGCACATCAGAGCAAGTGGCAGCAGGGTGGGAGAAGGCTCGGGCATCATGCAGCTGGCAGTTCCAATGCCCGCCCCACAGACCTGCCCTGATCCTGGGCAAGTTGTTTTGCCTCCTGGGGCTGTGGTCTTCTCTTTTGTACAACTGGGATCATATTTATCTGGTGAGTGAAAGGACACCACCTGCGTCCTCCATGTATCAGGTGCCTCCAGCTCCACCACCCATCACCACACCCCAGCCCCTTTCCTCTGTCATTCCAGACACGCAGGCAGACGTGTGCGTGCCCAGTGTGCCAAGGGTGAAAGGCTCTGAGTCTGCTGGGGAAGGGGGTCCCGGCAGCAAACAATTCCTGTCCCAGGCTGATGCTGCTAGAGAACAGAGGCTGTGCCCTGCAGCCAGTGGGGAAGCAGCGCACGTGTCTCACACTGGGAGATTGAGTGAGCTAAGGTTTAGGGAAGCCACGGGGAGGAGCTGATGTTAGAGATGAACCTGAGAGGAGGCATCCCCTGGCCCTCTGCAGGGGACCCGCAGAGACCCTTGCTGGGCAAATAATGGGCAGCCTGACTTTCACACCCCCTAGGTGTTTGGCCCTCTCTGGGGCTTGGAACAGGAGGCTCCTGCCCTCCACCCCAGCCTCCCTACCAACCCCCACCAAAAAACCTACTCTTTGGTAAATACATGATTAAGGGATTCTCAGAATATTCCAGACAAGTTTGTGTGAACATGCTCGTGGTCATTTTAAAACTGTTTCAGGCCAGGTGAGGTGGCTCATGCCTGTAATCCCAGCACTTTGGGAGTCTGAGGTGGGTGGATCATGAGGTCAGGAGTTCAAGACCAGCCTGGCCAGCATGGTGAAACCCAGTCTCTAATAAAACTACAAAAATTAGCCGGGCATGGTGGCATGTGCCTGTAATCAATCCCAGCTGAGGCTGAGGTAGGAGAATCGCTTGAACCCGGGAGGTGGAAGTTGCAGTGAGCCGAGATCACGCCACTGCACTCCAGTCTGGTGACAGAGTGAGACTGCGTCTCAAAAAAAAAAGTGTATCAGAAGTGAGAGGCTAAACCAGGGCCTGATGTTACTCATGGAAATCCCATGACCCCTCTGCATGGCCACCAGTGTCTCCTGGACAGGGCACCAGCTGGAAAGAGCCCGAGAAGGGGTGAAGCCCCCTGGGGCTTGGACTGGGTCCCCACCCCCAGCTCTTCTTCAGGCCGTCTGGCCTGGACCACTCTCAGTGCCAGGTTCCTCATCTGGCGGTCACTCCTACTGGGCTGTTCCCGCTTTGCTTCTGAGCGGAAGGCTGGGCTGCCAGGGAGGAGCTTTGTGGGGAAAGCAAAGGGGAAGCTGTCAGCGCCAACCACCAGCTGTCCCCTCCTGTGAACTAGAGTCGCCTTGGACAGGCAGGCCCCTGGATGGAGAGCCAGCCTCCGATGTGGTGGGCACTGCCCAGCTCCGCACGCCCTCCCGGGCCCCCCATGGCCCCCCAGCTCCTCCTTGGCCTGCTGCTGTTGCCCCGGACCCTGCAACTGGCAGGTATAGCATCCATCCTTCTCCTCTCTACTCTCTCGCTCCAGAACATCAGAGCGGCTTTCATCCAGCCCCGCGCTGCTAATTCCCAGGGACCTGTCTCTGGGGATTTGCTGGTTGTCATTTGAACGCTGCAGACTTCACAGGGGAAGCCTTCAGGGACTGAGAAGATGTTTAGCTAATGCCTCGCCAAGGTGGCTTTTAAAGGGGCGGGGGACAGCGCTCTCCCCCTTGCCACTGTGACAGCTCCCTCCCCGTTCCCCCCCCTCAGTCTGGCCTCCTGGCCCTTAAACAAGGAGGGTGGGCGCTGTGTGGCTGGGGTCAGGAGCTCGGGCAGTGGGGAAGGAGAGCTCCCCCATCTCATGA